ATTTCCTTGTTTGTGTACTTTTTACTTATGTTGTTAAATCTAAGCGCAAGTGATCCACTGATTTACTTCTCTTTTGCTTCTGTTTTTCAGATTGCCATGCTGTCTGAATGAGCTGATTTCAGCAGTCTTGCGTGCTCGCTGACTATCGATAGCCTGCATAGAAGTCGAGTGAATCCCTACCAAGAGCTAGTAGAATTACAAGTGTTTTACTGAAACACAAATCACCAACAGTTGGTATTTTGTCTTCTTGAAAATTCATGTCTACATTTTCGAATTATAAGCAACTTAATATTTTGTGAATTTTTCGTACCATTTACTCTGGGCATCATTCAGAAACACTGCATAAAAGGCATTAAAAACCAACATGTACTGAGGCCGTGACTGTATATTTACTGGTAGCCGAGGTGACCTCATCATTATCAATCGTGGTTTTAATCATGGCTTTATCTTTTCTCTTGATAGATTATTCTACAATTGACTTAAATCAGCCAATGTGAAATTTTATTTTCAAGTAATTACATTTTCAAGGATTAAAATTTGCAAAAAAGAGAAATATTTCATTTTATAGTTTAAACAAAAGTCGTCAATCACATATTTGTACTTTCTTTTTTCTTTCACCTGATCGGGTTTTTTTCCGATTACATGACACTGTTTCTTACATCGACAACAAGAGCTGTAAAATGGAATAGAGAATGTTAGAGAACATTGTAATGAATTGTATAACAGTTCTAATGAAAACAGTAATGAAATAGCACTTTTATTGAGCTGGAATTCGGAAATTAGATTAACAGAAATATTATGCTTTCAAGATTAGCTATAAGCAGATACAGTCGAGGTAGACGCTTGACTGCCATTCTATATTTTCTCCAATGATGACACGTAGAATTGTGATTAGATAAGTACATGATTCACCTTTCATGAATCCAGTTTGGAAAGGAGAACCATGTACTGACCAAGTTGCAACTTTAAGCATCATCATCGGAAAAAATATGGAATAGCAGTCAAACTACTCCCTTCCAAAGCGTTGACAGAGAATTTATTAGGAAACTACTTCAACACTATGATATGCCCAAAATCTTTATCAACCTCATTCTACAGCTATGTAACAATGTCACATGTCAGGGGATGCACAGCGGAAAACTCAGCGAGCTGTTTGAAGTGAATACAGGAGTGAGACATGGCTTCCTATTATCACCTAATTGTGGTGGACTGAATTGTACGCCAGGCTGTGGGCAGCAAGAAGACAGGGATATGTTGGGCCGACAAAAAGATTCTAGATCTGGACTTCGCGGAGGATTTATGTCTAGTGTCACAAACTAGAAGACTAGCAGAAGAAAGTCAACAAACTACCAGAAAAAGCAGCGAAGAGAGAACTTCAGGTGAACATGGGGAAGAGTGAGATGATGAAGACAACCACCTAACAGCAACAGCAAGCACCGATCACTGTCAGTGGAAAAAATTTGAAAGATATCAGTTCTTTGCTTCACTTATTTAGGCTACATCGTTTCACTGCAGCCAGCCGGAAGGGATGAGGATGTCAAAGTCAGCCATAATCGGAAAGGTGAAACAGACCTCCAACACTCAGAAGTCAGTTTGGAAATCTTCTTTACTCAGCATAAAGAATAAAATTTCCATTTTCAACACAATTGGGAAGTTAGTCAGTTCTTGTATATGAGTTGGAAACTTGACACTCGCGTCACGAAAAGAATTTCCAACAGGTGATACACTTTTATCAACAACTGCCTTCGCTCCCTACTTAGGATCAGATGGTGAAAAAGAATTAGCAGCAAAAAACTTTCGCCACAAACCAACTAAGAGCCGGTTGTTCAACGAATGTGAAAAATAAAACGGAGATGGACAGGGTACATGTTGAGGAGACTGTTGGATGATATCACGTGCCAGGCCATTGCTCTAGTGAAACCCAATGGGAAACAATGAGTTGGTCGTTTTAGGGTGACATGGAGGAGATCGTGTGAGGAGGTGACGAGAGATTTTGGACAGTTGTGAGCCCAGCTAAAGAGGAAAACAAAAATAGAACAAAGTGGAGATGTGTTGATGAAGCCCCATGTTCCACTCGGAATCCAAGGGAACAATAATAATTAAATCAAATTTCCTTAAAACACTAACTTGTAGCCTTTCTCATATTTTATTTTATCTGTAGTCATACACTACTTATGAGGTTGTTTTACTCCGAGTGAAGAAAACATCGGTGAATGTCACCAGGCAGTTGAAAACGTACAAAACTACTGGGTCCCATAGGCTTGCTATGATTTCCTACTCGTTTTTATGCATGTGGAGGGAGACAGTTAAACATGGATGTCAAACAGTGAAGAATACAAAACATGTAAAATGTAGCAGGTAGGACCAACGCTTTATCGAATAGAATGCATTCACTGAAGTCTTTTTCTACATGAATAACGGTCAGAAGTTAAGTGTTACAATTTTTCAATGTATGTCATTTGATGTGTACATTTATGTAGGTTAGCGAAGATTCAAACTTCAGTGAAAGAATTAAGAAACACGATGAACGCTAGCAAACTTTAAGAACCTGTAAGAGGACAAAGTTTACCAGTATCTGACTGGTCTAAGGATTTCTTAGTTAAGTATAATTACGACTGTACAGCTCATGAAAATGAATCGTTGGAAAGAAAATTTTCTTCGCTGTTTACGCCTTCTTCTTATAACTCAATATGGGAATATTTCGTTGTTGAAGAATAAAAAAGTAAAAAGCAGCTGTATAGTGCTGTTTGAGTTCTAATGTTTATTAAATATTCTAGTTACTGTACATTATATTCTCATTATTCTACAGAGTCATAATAATGCTTACTGAAAAAGCCAATTTAGGCAGAAACCAGCCGACAGATGTAATATACGACAACCTGTTTTAAATCACCTAATTGTGTATCCAGCAAAATGCATCGAATTCACTCTATTTTATAAGTAGATTTCAGCCTAGCAGTAGGCAGATTTTTAAAGAAAATGCAAAACAAATATAGCGATGGATTATGGTATATTTCGGATCGAACAAAACTGCTTCAAATGATGCATAATCGCCTATTATTTCACAGTAAAACACCTTGAGAATTATGTACTATGTGCTGGATAATATGCGTTATCCAGAATAAAGCTGTTATGATTAAATATTGGTGAATAGTATGTTGATCAAAATCTATGGATCATTTTACTCAGGAAAGACACTAAACTGTAGCACAACTTTCTTTTTCTAAGTCAAATGTCAACAGTGCCTACCAGTACAAAATCGAGATTCGCACACCTCCTAACAGATAGCTGTTGTCGTTTGCTCACATTATTCTAAGAATGTTAATACTCAAGCCTATCTTTTCGTCAGGATTAACTAGTCAAAATGAAAATACTTAATTAATGCATCGGTTAAAATTTCTGTTTGACTCACCTGGCACCCTAATACCAGTATAATTGTGTTCATTATTCAAACTGCAGTTACAATCTAAAAGTTGTAGAAAGTAATTTTAAAAATGTTTTCTAAATAAGAACGAAATAAATAATCAGTAATAAAATCTATAAGACAAAATAAATCCCTAACCGATATCAAATAAAGAGCCAGGGATCACCTTGGTTTCTAATAATTCTTCGGTTGATACTAGATTATGAGGAAATCTTCAGGGGATCTAAGCATAGCATCGAAAATCTAACATCTTATATGGGTAAAACATATAGACTAAGATTGAACCATGTGAAGTACAAAGCCTCAAGTTTAATTCGACAGTTCCTTCTATTGGAGACTTACTAGTGCCATACATCTAGTCATTCGGTCAGTGTAGACTGGATTCTATCAGTCAAGCATGCAGTGTGGCCACCATGCTAGTTAGTTTTCCATCATGGTACACTCTGAAATCTCGTTATCAGATAGTGTGAGGCAATCGGTAGGAAGCCTTGCACCTAGGTTTCGCGCTTGTTGGCATTCACTACTTAACAAGGCGTATCCGAAATCTTAAAGGAGCTCATGTCCCTTTCGAGACTGTCTCCAGCCATCTAGAAACAACAATTCACAACGTACCGTGATGGCAAACCAACTAGCATGGTGACGATATAGCGAACTTCACTGACATTCAGTCTACACCGAAAAGAGGATTAGACGCATGACATTAACTGGTATACAATCGAAATATCCAATACAGCCCTAGAGAAGGTCGGTCGCTACCCCAAGTAGTCCACAAGGTAACGTCTCTGGAGCGCTGGGTGACATGAGTTCGAATGTCAGAAGAAACATGAGCTCCTTCAAGTTTGCAGATATGCACTGTCAACCGGTGGTTGCCAACAAGCATGAAATTTATGTGTAAGGCTTCCTGTTGATTGCACCCCGCTGTCTAGACAGCTCCTTCCACTAAACGTTTGAAATTCCTGATTACTTCCCGCGAACAATCTCAGTGACACAAAAGTGTGTGTTCAGAACTCTGTGTCACAATAAAATTACTGTATACATGAAATTCATTCATTCATACAAACGAAATAATAAGTAGCTGAGACATATCATCAGCTTCTACGCATACGTAATAACCATTAGTTCATGAAATCGACTTTTGTTGTAGACTCTATTAGAAAAATCATTTGTTTTACATTGATGAATCAACCAGCATGTAAGAAATAAATTGAAGCATCACACATTGAATCAGTTACAGAGTCTCAAGTTTAAGGAAAAATGTTTGGCAAAGAGAATCATCTACAATGTGTTTCCCCACTTTACTGGCTAATATTTTCTATTGTTTACTTTCACTAAACAGAATCAAGAGTGAGACATATTTAAAATGATAGTACAAAACAGGGAGATATTGAGAAACTTACTGTAAATAGGTGCCCTTGCGGTATGAATTTCAACACGCTGAGAAAATTTCGTTCTTACAGAATTCTTGAAAAACACTTTCACTTTATAAATATAACTTTGATCTTCATCGAAATCTGTAAATATGTTATTTAAATGTCCATTCACGCGTATTTTTACAAGAGACAATACTGAAATCTTTGGCCGTGTACGTCTATGAACTCGGCATATCAGATAGTACGATATGCATTGGGAGTATTTTTCTTCTATTGGGCTCCAGCTGACCACATGAGCTGCACCTCCATTTAACATTTCAACCGTCACATTTTCCACCTTCACAGAATCTAAAATAGAAGAGTAAATATATGCCCCAGTAAGCTTGCTAGAAATAATGGTGTGAAATTAGTTTTCAGAGAGAAAAATGCCAATAAATGCTAACTGTTTATTGCGTCGGTGGCGCAGCGGTTAGGATGCTCGCCAACGATGCTTATGGTCTGGGGTTCGATTCTCGGCCGGCGCACTCCTTTACCTCACTCAGCCAGAAGTAAAGCTGGTGAAGAGGAAAGGTTGGGCATGAGGCTGGCAGCCCCATCCTGTAAAATTAAACACTGCTACAGAAACTTCAAGTCACTAGCTTGAAGCCCTATGTTCCACTGGGAACGTGAAGGAAAAAAAAGTTTATTGATATCTCATGGGAGGAAAGGGGAACAGTACACAACTACATTATACGATAATGATTGAACATATGATTAGGAAAATTAAGGATCCTCTGTTAACGAATTGTGCACCGTGCAGAAAATTTACAGCCAACTAAAACCAAATGAATTGTATAACTTTTTACACCTTATCATTTTCGGCTTATCCAACCATCATGGTGACCAAATCAGCCATTGAACAGATTTTCAAATTTTAGAAACACTTAAAGTATGCTAATGAAGCACTGATTATTAATTATTTTAGTTTATTACTTAGGTCAATTATTCTTACCTAAATTTAAAAGATCCCGGCCCAGTTTATTAGTTCACTAGTTTTCTAGCCAGTTCTACACCCAGGAAAAGATTCAAGTTTGGGCGTGAGGCTAGCAACGCAACCCGAAAAATACATCTAATCGCTCATTCACTTATCTAAGCGAATCCCTTCAACTACAGGCACCTATGAGGATGCCCAATAAACAATCGGAAGATCAATACAAAAATTCAGCACTCGGAAATCTTCTGTACCCAGCATTACCAACAAAATTCGAATTCTCAACACTAATGTCAGGTCAGTCAAATCTTATATATGGGTCAAAAACTTGAGTCACGAGTCACGAAAAGCACTTGCAACAGGCTATTTCAGACTTTTATCAACAGCTACTTTCGCCTGCTACATACTGAAGATTCGATTGTTGGTCAAAAGGAATTAGAAACAAGATACTCAAGTAACAAGCGATTCATCAACCTACTGCTCAATAAATATGAGGAGAAGAAAACGGAGACGGATTGGACATACTCTGAGGATGTCATCGAATGACATCTCGCGCTATGATCTTCAATGGAACTCGAATGGGAAACGATAAGTTGAGTTTATGATGATGACGTGGAGGGGATTGTGTGAGGAGGACATGACAGATTATGGGAAAGGATGCAGAGAACAGGATGAAGGGAGCATGTACTGATGAAACGCTATGCTGCATGAGAAACTCAAGGGAAAAATAATAATAACAATAGTAATATAAATTTAACAGAATAACTGCTGTTCAAAAAAGATACTTGGCACTCTGACAAGTTGTGTCATCTTTTATGAATAAGTGTTCCAAATGATTTACCTCCATTTTCCGGACATACAAATTCCTCTTCATTAGGATCTGGTAAGGAAGTATTTTGAAGCTGTTCAAGAAACACATTTCTTTGATTACCTGTTGATTAGTTAAAAAGGTATTAGTTGAAACTAAACAAGGCGAAATTTACCGCTCTTTACTTTGCACATATATATATATATATATCGCCTAGAGTAACCCCTGTGGAAAAGCGTGACTGGTGAAACACTTTTTTAAATGGCATTTCTCTTTTTTTAAATAGTACTGTTCATCAGAGCCTTCAGGAACCAAAGGTACTTAATAGGCTTTTATTGGATTGAATGGCTTCATTTCCTTCCAGATATCATCTAGATGACTATATTCATGGTCGTGCATAACTTTTATTGACTTTATTTCGATACAGCCAGGTAGCTGTTTCCATCTAGTAGAGGTGAACAATTCACGTGATATTATACAAAATAATTTCTAATTAAAAATGAAATATGCAACGACTATTTTTTTTTAAAAGGATATACTGTCACCAAATTTGCTTTTATTTTGTGTATTTTTCATCCTAGATACTTAGGAGGTATTTCAAGATATTATTTCTACAATGTTTCACAGAAGTAAATGATGAACTTCTGCTAGTCATTTCATCATTTGGTTTTTTTATACAAATTTTGTTTTTGCTTATTAGTATTCAGGATGACAATATAGAACAAAAGAAAAATGCTCAGCAGAAATTAATCAGGTGATGTTAAAATATGTTGTCTTTGTGTAATTTCAGAATTATTCGGTTTTAATAAAACAAAATAGTCTAGGAATTTATTCCACAAACGTGAAGTACTCTTGATTTGTAATTTTAAGAGTGCATTTAGTAAAGTAGAATAAGATTTTTCTGAAAGTTTCTTTGTGTAAGACACTGCTACTTCAGCAGATTTATTCTGATCTCGTCAAACGTCAATATATATATATATATATATATATATATATATATATATAATACATAAATTAAACCTCTCTGAAGATTATAGTTGGCTTTCCATTTGACTGGGTGCTTTTGGCGTCAATTAGTGCGAACTTGACTGCTTCCGTGTCCGATCATTCAGCCAGACTGAGGTGTATGCGTGAAAGCTTCACTCTTCCCATTCTGTATGTCAGAAATAGCCTGTGCTCGGTGGCCGATCATAGGCATCGCTTTTTTATGTTATAATAATTAGGCAATAATTACTTTCACTAAACAAACAAACTCCCAGACACAACTCATGATTAATTTCAAACAATATTGAACTACTTTTTCTGGCTTTGAAACTGATTCAACGACACACCACTCAGTCACTTACCACATGAGTTAAATGTCCAATACTCATAACAACCAACATCAACACACTACATCCACCCACCCCCTCTACATGTAAGCAAAGTGCATGTGTGCAATAATAATGCAGTAATACACACAAAATTCCTTACATAAGTAAACAATTAATAATCAACATCAAACTGAAAACACATCCAAACGTACACATCACCTATCCACATAAGCGCACCTCATCACAATATACTGATTAGTTAGCCTCTGCAACTGCATAAATCGCTGTAACAACTGCCTATGACAACTTTATTATTACTAAAAACACCTTTACATGCTGGAGTGGCATTTTTCCTTTTTTTTTCAACTAATAAACAATCTGTTACAGGATTTTATCACGATCTGACATCGGTTAGAGAACCATGGGAAGCCTGGTAGAACTGGGCAGCTGGTTTGAGACTGTATGTGTATGGGATGGATCGGTGGTTCTATGTTGTAGTAGAATGCTTGTTGAAAACCAGTTCCTAAACCTTGCTTAGCCTGTAATAGGCCCAGTAAACAGGCAAGGTTTGATGTAAGGCTAGCAATCCCACACTGTAAGAGCAACTCCACAGCAGCTACTGAAAATTCAGTGTTCAAGCGTGAAATCCTATGTTCCAGTCGAGACTTGAATGGAACGATAACTACTGTATGCACGCTTTAGTGAGAAGATAGTGTTTTCAGTAAGTGAGTAAATTAATCTATGATAATTAATCACTGCGATCCATGTGACTGTTTAGACAGTCAGAGAATATATTTTTTTAAATAACCACTCAGGTTCTAATATTCAGTCTTATCTCTTTTTTTATTTTCATCTTCTTGTCATTTTTCAAAAGTTAATTTTTGCTGAAATACATAGGAGAGAAATATTAATTGATTAAACAAAGAACAGAATGTTAGTAACAGATTAGACTCAAGTGTCTACAGATCCATAATCATTTGCAAAATCATCTCATCTGTATTACTGAAACTCTCTTCCTCCACACTGAGAAGGTGGAGTTTTGCCCAAAAAGAAACTCTTTCAATCTCTCCTTTCACCACCCTAATCCTTCAGTATTAAAAAATTCTGCCGCATCTTAAATAGGATGTAATTCCTACGTCAGACCACACTATCTCAGTAACATTTTGTTCATTATCTACAATGATTCGTTTCTACATATTTTACTGAATTTCATTGAGAAGGTACTGATAAACTAATGCAGTAAAAGGTACATTACCAGCACTGATAAAAAGGTAACATTTATCGTCAAACTACTGGTGATAAAATAATTTATTACGATGTAGATTTATGGCATCCTCGAAATACACTGTATTCATATAAGTGATAGTGTTTTTTCTATAGGAATGTTCAGCAATATATATATATATATATATATACCATTCGAATGATACGGCCTGAATTATGGGTTCAGTTAGAGACTATTGCTAACTGTTTATTACATTTAATTTTACCTCTTTAAAATTTAGTTTTGTTTTTATGACTTAACTTGATTTTTATATATGATAGAGAAGATTTGTAGCTCAGGTGGATGATTTTGATGTGGTTGTGTTCTCTGAGCTGGATGGCTAATTTGCGAAGCTTCCATCACCCTACTAGGTGACATCTTCAGCGCATACTTCAATTTGAAAGCTCACTTCAAATTGAAGTATGCGCTGAAGATGTCACCCAGTAGGGTGATGAAAGGTTCGCAAACTAACCATCCAGTTCAGAGAACATAACTTGATTTTTATGCCTAGCCCATTTTCGTATTAACTAATATTCTGTCACTGACTTCACTTTGATTTTGCTCGCAATTGTAGTTAGGGGACTTCCTTCCATAGTTACGCAACCACTTAATTGTATGTACGATATTATCTTTACACTTGACAATATTATTCTACCATTTCCTGTAAACGTCTTAATTTCTCATTTATGAATATGTTGATCATATATTTAAGTATGTTAAAAATCATATCATACTGGTTACCTGGGTATCTTATTATTTATATTGTATGAGGCTGATAAAACTCCATGAAATAAAGTGAGTTCAACTTAGGCGGCAACAGCTTTTGTCATTGCGACATTCAGATTTATCAGTGGAAGTGACTACATGCAACTGAGAAATATTTAAATTAATGGAGGAAGCTGTATCATACGCTGTGATGAAATACTTTCAAGCATGAGTGTATTTGATTAGTTGACTAGAGAGGAAATTAACTCACAGAAACACTCAGCTAGAATTCACTTGGCTGAAATAAGTTTACATACACCAAGCTTTGTGCTACACTTACTGCGTAATGACTGATGTTACCACTGAGTTGCCCAAGTTGAGATAGGTGGAGTGGAATTACAATCAAGAACCCACTAATAAGAAACTCCCGCGTTCATTTAGACTAAAATGCATGTACGAAATTTGCTTCCGACTACTTTATGTCGCTTAAGAAGCAGTCTTCTGTAATACTTTCAACTTCATATCTAGACAAATTATGAACGACATACACAAATCCGTATTACTGGACTGAGGATGTAGAACATACGTTAAGCAGAATAAATTCTGTTGAAGATGCAGTGTATGCAACACACCAACAGCTGGAAGACAACCAGCAAAACTCTGTAGTTTAGAAATTTGTCAGTCTAGATATAACAAGAGATACATTTTCTAAAGGTAAGCATAATAATGTGTGACTTATTAACTGATAGAATATAGAGTATTATTTCTTCAATAAACAATTAAACCAGTAAGCTTCAAATAATCAATTAATACGATTTCCATGTGTTCGCCTGTACTGATTTGATTGATTTCGAATCGGACAATAGGCGGGCATCAGTTAAAGAACCACAGAAAACCACGGAATTCCGGACAGCTGTTTTCTCCTAGTTCAGGACTCTTCACCAGTCCGCATCTATCGATCCACCAAGAATCGAATCCATAACATTCATGTTATAAGGTGAACCTGTTGACGATTTAGCCATTATGTTGGCATTCAATGGCTCATACTTCTAACTTCTGTCAGTTCGCGACATTGATAAGATGGAAAAGATAATGATAAAATCACATTACATACCGGTTTCATATGATATAGAATTGACTTTTGTATAGCCAAACTCATCAAAGCATTGAAGATTATAAGTTGTATTTGGTTTTAAGTGTCCAAGTGTAGAATGATCATTCACCAGTTTGTTTGTACAATAACCGGCATCATTGCCATACGTGTTGATTACGGAAATATTGCAATTCCTTGCAGATGTTGTTATAAAATCGCAGTAGAAATGCACTTCACCAGTTGCATTATCCAATATTGCTCGTGGTACTAAACTCTTTTCCAAGCTACCTTCTAATAAAAGTTAGATTGGAAAAAATAAAGTAATATAAATAAAAGTTATACTTTATGTAAAAATGTATCTGTAAGCGAGAAAATATCCTGTGCGATTATTTAAATATACAAGAGTATGGTAAGTATTCTCATACCACTTATAAAATAAAAGTAACTGATAGCTCATGAAATTGAGCATATGAAATACTAGACCAAAACTAACAAAATGTTGTACAGATGGTCTGATATATATATATATATATATATATATATATATATATATATATATATATATATATAATATTATATTATATCCTTTAATTCCTAGAGGAACATAGGGATTCAGCTGCGCATCTCCATTGCCTTCCGTTTTCTGCCAACTTTTTCACCACGCTCCAAATCCGCCCACATGCTTTCATCTCCTCTTCATATGACCTCTTCCAAGTCACCCTTGGACGACCAACTCGCCGCTTCCCTTTCAGGTTCCACTCGAGCAATGGCTTGTCTAGTGATGTCACTTGGTGGTTTCCTCAGCGTATGGCCAATCCTTCTCCATTTCTTTCTGCATATTTGTTTCACTATATATATATATATATATATATATATATATATGTTATTTGGTTGACGTTAACTAACACCGAAATCCAGAAGGTCAGTTTCACTGTATTTGTAAGACATAAGATGGATGTACCTATTTCCCAATGAGCAGTGATGCTCTCACATGTACGTAGGTGGTACAGCGGTTAGGACTCTTGTCGACCACACACATGGTCCAGCGTTCAATCCCCTGTCGACGCACACCTGATATCAATAGTGGGGCCTGCAAAATTTGGGCTACCGACATCACATGCTGAAAATTCCATACTTGTACCGAAATACGGTGTGGAGTCAAGCTATAATCATAAAAAATAATTTTAAAAGTTTAACACATATGGATTATTATTGACTTCTGACATTAATGGTGAAGGTTTTGACTTCAAAAAGGAATGATGTACCTCCAAACTTTGGAAAGAACATAAATTTCCTCAGTGGTGAATATATATCCCATTGAAAAGTATTAGCATATGTGAAACAGAATACCCTATTCCTGGCACTGAGAAAGCATGAAGTGCAAATCACTTTAAAATATTCTCAAATACACACATGTATTATTACCATTCTTATTATGATAATTCTTTTTGAGTGGTTTTAATTTTGAAAGTGTTTTCTTGAAATAAATACTGATACCTGATAAATGTAAACTTAAATGTATAGTCACCTGTGTATACCACATGTGTAGGAAAACCATGCAAACTCCCAAAAACAATATTTTAGATGATTGCCTGTAGTTATTGAAAACATTAATAGGACAAGTGATTTTTTGACATTTTGAATTTAATTCTACTTGGATTGAGGCTGAGGGCGAAATGTAGTTTCATGTTACTGCCGATTGATGTAAATGAGTACATAAAGCAACGCGAAACTGGACTTGCTAATATGGACACAGTCTTCACAGTGAATTTAATACACCTCATTGAATTTATTCTCCTTAGCCAAAGGATCTTTCAGCTTCTACTGTGGATTTTGTGGTGATTTCACTAATTCCTGTGGCACTCTAGCACCAAATGAGCGAAATAATTCCCTGATGGCCAATAAAACACTTTTCATATATAGTAACGCTAATCCACCAGTCAAAATGAAAGCACTATACTTTTGTTTCTTATACTGACTAGTGAAGTTGGTTGGGTAGTCATTTGCTTTGAAAACCTATTAACACTTTTATGCTATGGGGAGTCTTAGCTGTCATTAAACGCCTAAATTTAATGACGTTCACTAATATTATAAACATGATCTATGAACAAACCTGGAGCCAAACCTGTATAGAAATTCTAGGCAGAAAAAAGAGACAGGACAAACAGTGGCTCACTACGGACACTTGGAAACTAATAGAAGAGAGAAGGACAGTGAAGCAAAAGATTATCCAGTGCTACGACGAGCAACAAAAACAGGAGCTGAATGCAAGCTACAATACACTGAACAAAAGAGTGAAGAAAAGTGCCAGGGAAGACAAAAGAAAATATTATGAAACCATGGCAAACGAAGCAGAACAAGCTGCAGGCAAAGGAGACCTCGCCACACTCTACCAAACAACTAGGAACCTTTCGGGCAAACGTTCGACACAGATTAAGCCAATAAAGGACGACAATGGAAAGTCAATCACCAAAGAGGTGGAACAGAGAAAGCACTGGGTTGAACACTTCAAAAGACTTCTAAATCGTCCGCCACCTACAACACGTCCAGCAATACCAACAACGGAAGCAGAACTACCAGTGAACACTGACCCCCCGACGAAATCAGAAGTCCTGAATGCAATCAAGATGCTTAAAACTGGGAAAACACCGGGACCAGATGGAATCCCAGCAGAGGCTTTGAAAATAGACCCAGAGACAACAGCGGACTTGATGACACCACTACTGGAGAAGGTGTGGAAAGAGGGCAAAGTACCCGAGGATTGGAAGAACAGTTACTTATTCAAACTTCCAAAGAAAGGAGACTTAAGTCAATGTAAAAACTGGCGTGGAATTATGCTTCTGTCCATTCCAAGCAAGATACTAAGTCGCATCATCCTGGAGAGAATCAAACAAGCCCTAGATGAAAAACTTCGTCCGGAACAGGCTGGATTCAGGAGAAACAAATCATGTATTGATCAAATCGCCACTCTACGGATCATCATTGAACAAAGCTTGGAATGGCAGTCACCTCTCTATCTCAACTTCATCGACTTTGAAAAGGCCTTCGACAGCGTCGATCGAGAGGTCATTTGGAAACTACTTCGCTACTACGGGGTCCCATCGACAATTATACACCTCATCCAACAGTTATACGACAATGCTGCATGCCAAGTAATCCACAACGGGAAACTTACGGAAGCCTTCGAAGTGAGGACGGGAGTGAGGCAAGGCTGTCTACTATCACCAATGATCTTCCTGATTGCAATCGATTGGATAATGCGACAGACAACGGCAACCAACGAGGGAACAGGCATAAAATGGACTGACACAAAAGACTTGGAGGATCTGGATTTCGCCGATGATATATGTCTGATTTCCCATAAACTGGAAGATATGCAAATGAAAAGTAACAAGTTGGCAGAAGAAGCATCAAAGATAGGACTTCACGTGAACATAGATAAAACAGAGATGATGAAGATTCCTTGCCAACATCAACAGCAACAACAGACCACAATAAGCATAAATGGGAAGAACCTGAAAGAAACAACCTCCTTCACCTACCTGGGAAGCATCGTCTCAACTACAGGCGGAACTGACGAGGACATCAAAGCCAGAATCGGAAAAGCAAGACAAGCTTTCATTACTCTCAAATCTGTGTGGAGGTCAACAGCATTCAGCATCAAAAATAAGATCCGGATTTTCAACTCCAATGTGAAGTCAGTGCTACTATACGGATCAGAGACTTGGCGAGTCATAAAGAGCATCTCAAACAAACTTCAAACCTTCATTAACAACTGTCTCCGCTCAATACTCAAGATCAGATGGCCAGAAAAGATCAGCAACAGGGATCTCTGGGAGCGAACCAATCAGGAACCGATTGTGAAACAAATAGGCAGAAAGAAATGGAGATGGATTGGCCATACGCTGAGGAAACCAACAAGTGACATCACTAGACAAGCCCTCGAGTGGAACCCGAAAGGGAGGCGGCGAGTTGGTCGTCCAAGGGTGACTTGGAGGAGGTCATGTGAAGAGGAGATGAAAGCATGTGGGCAGACCTGGAGCAGGGTGAAAAAGTTGTCAAAAAACCGAAGTCAATGGAGGTGCGCAGCTGAAGCCCTATGTTCCTCTAGGAACTAAAGGATACAATAATAATAATAATAATGAACAAAAATAGAAATATTTTCTTCATGCAATGCCATAAAGTACAAATATGTAATTCACTTACCAGTCAGTTGAAAGTTGTATGTACGTGTTTTCAGTACTCTTTGAATTGTTTTATTTTGTAACAGGGTAATTTGTATATGAAACGGTTGACAAAACACTAATGGTGTATATAAAAAATTACTGGAAAATGGTAGTGTATCATGGAAGCCAAAAGAAGCATTCAAATGCAGGTGAGTTGGTCTAAGTTGGTTTATTGACTCATCAAATAAAAAGATCAGATTCTCTCCATAAACTTGGACAGTATAATTATCTTCTCTGTATACTTGCGCTGTAACTTGAAGAGGAATATATGAACCAAAAAATGTTATATTAATGTATATAGAAAAAATAAACGAAGATACATATGGTGAAGGAATTGTTTTCATTAGTTAACTGACTTTCAACGGAATCATGCAAGACTGCATTACTTATATGATCAATAACTTCAGCTTTAGCACCACTGAAAAGTTCTGTATGATTAACAAAAACGTTTTATGGCAGGTTACGATGGTTTCTTCTCAACCGTGTTGACATATTCTGTAGAAAAGCATCATTCCTCATTATGCATCGTCAGCTAAAGAACCATTGAAATGTGCTTATGGTTAACAGTTATTTCACAATATTTACAACTCAACCAGTTCAAATATGCAACCCAGTTTATTATTATATACAAGAAGCTCAGGGTTTTTTTCTGGTTAACAAGTGGTAATGGTTCACTAAGTTGGAATTTTGAGATTAGCTTATTGGGAAATTTCACCAGTACTAGACAGTAGTTCTCCAACATAACTATAGCATAACCGGAATTGAAACTTTCTGTTATTGAAAAGACGATTAAACGTCAGAAACACGCAAAAGTTCTGATTACGATTTCATTGAAGAGTAACTCTGAATGATCAGTCTCCAAGGTTCCTAATCTATATAAATCAAAAAGGTACGAAAGAAAACTAAATTATTGCTATCGGCGACTGAGAATGATTTGAAGGAAATTAAGACCGTCGCATGACTGTGATGTGTGATACTGACAAGATTTATCAGTAGTATATGCAGAGACGTTCATCGACATAAAAATATCAAATAGAGTAGAGATAGATTTGACATCAAAGTAAGCAAATGAACCAGTGTTGCGGCAATATATAGGAGACATGAAAAGACGACAAAGAAACACAATACGAAGGTCATAAGTAGCCCAAGTTGGAAGGTATGTGCAAATGACGATTTTCAGATTAGTTGTACATAATTCTGCCTATAGAGAGATATCAAATTCCAAATAAACATGCTGTGACTAAGTCTCTTGTCTTCTACCGTTACAACAGTCTACAGGTTATTCTGACTTATAATATGAGTAGAAAGGTAAACGTAGTTTGCCAGTGAAAAAAAACAACTGTAGGCGAGCTGACTGCATTGTCTGCGTTCTTACGATATATTATATACTATTTATTTTTTATTTTTTTGATTTACAGCTTGATTCCACACTGTATTTTTGGTACAAGTATGGAATTTTCAGCATGGATATCGGTAGCCCAAATTTTGCAGGCCGACCATAGATATCAGGTGTGCGCCGGCGTGGGCTCGAACCCCGGACCATGTGCATGGTCGGTTGTTAATGTATCTATACAAAGGATAAAAACTGTTAATTTCTTATATCTCAAGCATATCTAAGACAGAATATTTCTTTGCTCTCCTCCAAAATACTGAGAAAATTCTGGGAAATACTTATACGAGTTGATCATGGACTGAAATCAGTTAGAGAACCATTGAAAACCAGGGACAGCTGTTTCATCCTAGTTTGGGAATCATCGGCAGCTGTCCAGTACTCCATGGCTTTCAATGGTTCTCTAACTGATATCAATCAGTGATCAACTAGTAAAAACAAATCCACTCCTTACAAACCAACTATTGAAAATACTTATACAACTAGTAGAGTGTGACATCTATCCTGGCCCCCTACCTATTACAGAAGATCTAGCAGAAAAGTACCGGTGGCAAAGATTTAACTAGAGCACGAAAAGAGTATAATTTCCCATCCAGTTTACTGACAAACCTTACTGGAGAGTGTTGAAAAATACAAGATTTACATTCACGGATTACTTTTATGTGACTGTTCTTAAAATCTAATATAAAATCACAACACATTCCCACTGAACAGTTCAACCAAAGGATCACCATGGATGCATCATTGATCGACTTTGATCAACAAATTAAGGATTAGGAAGATATACTAAGTGTCATCCACATACGATAATAGACCATATTTCTCAATGTGATATGTCTGTACCAGCTTACTAAATAATGTCTGTGGTATTTCATGGATTTACATAATCTTAAATCTGATTTTCAGCTGTGTTGTTTACATCATAAGAGGTAAGTGGTAGATACTGGTTTCGTTGGTTGTTTAAATTTATCATATTACAATATTCGAATTACTCCTCTTAAATAGGAACAAACAACTTGAATCCCCAACAGATGCAGAGTTAAAAATCTAATAGGGTACAAAAAATATAAAAAATTTATAATTAAACTAGACCTGTGATAATCAACTATAATATACTTTAAACTTACTCGGATTAATTTCAAATGTTAGGAGAATTGGCAACACAAGATAGAAGTGACGAGTAAACATTTCTGACTTATTTATGTCTCTCTACAAATTCATACTGAAACTGATCTCACAGAGTATATATATGTGTGTATATATATGTGGCTGATATTTCAATGAAGTGTCATTAGGTTGCTTTATGTTCGTTTTGTAGAGTTTACAGATCGGTGACATTGTCTGGTGCCTCATTTCAGCTTTAAATCGATGTGTGTAAAATTTAGGGTGTAAAGTATAGCAAGAAGAGAACGAAAGACTGTTTGTTGTCTAGTATTTTGATTAATAAACATACTTTTCGTGGACTTTTTTTAGTCACAAGTTATTTGTCTATAGAAAAGAAAAAGTGTTCAGCAAAGAGTTACTCTTTTCGGCGATATCATTCTCAAGCTGTACAAATCGCAAATTTATAGTAATTTGTCTTGGCAACAAAAGGAATATTTCCAAAGATGTGTTAATGCAATTGTTAGTTTTTGACAAACAGATTACGTAATTTTGAAGGCGTTAATCGGTTAGAAACTAAAATAAAGTTACAAAAGTAGGTTGGGTGACGTAATCTAATTGGTAGGGTTCAATGAAAAAATGAATGAGAGTCAAGTTAATAATCTGAGTAGAATTCACTTGAAAATGAATGAGAGTTAAGTTAATAAGCTGAGTAGAATTCACTTAAAAATAAACGAAAATCGAGTTAGCAACAGTCGTCATGAGCGTAGAGATTTAATAGAGGGTGGGGGTAGAAAATAATGCAATTAAGAAATAGACAAACAAAGAAGAAAGAGGTAAGACAAAATTACGTATTTGGTGTTAAGATAGATCAGGACCATTGTAGATTTAGTGACTGAACAAACTTCTTTTGTATGCAGAGTTCAGGATTCAATATGTGAATTGCCATTGCTTCTGCAGTTTGAAGAAGTTTAATTCGTACTCTTTTGGCAAGATTTCCACGTATTGTGTAGATAACTGAGAAGTTGTTTTGTGGGTTTGCTTGGTGTCCGGATTCGATCAAGTGTTCTAGGATAGAGCTGTGGCGGGGGGATCTTCTTTCTCCTTTATAAAACCATGAAGGTAAGTGTTCGCTGATTCGTTTGGATAGCAAACGCTGGGTACGGCCGACATACCTAGCTCCACATGAGCAGGTGAATTGGTAGATGCACATTGATGAGGCCCCCAGTGGAAGCTTATCCTTCACGTTCGTGCGAATCATTGGTTTCGTAGAGAAAGTTAGTCTGAGTTCCGCTGCGAAGAAGGTTTTCTTCAGTGAACGGCACAGGCGGTTTCTAAGTATTTCTGCTGAAGAATCTCCGTTGAATTGTAGATTCAAATAGAGAAGTTTCTTGGGAGCAGTAAGCATGGATGGTTTTTGTGTTTTCGGCTTCATAGCTTTTGTGATGAAACGTTCCGGGTAACCGTTTTCAAGAAGGATTCTTTTCAGGGTCTTCAGCTCTTCTTCTATAGTTTCCGGACTGCAAATGTTGTGGATTCTGTGAGTCAGTGAGCGGATCAGATTTCGTTTTGTATATATAGGCACCCAACTGTGAAAGCTGATGAGTTGTCCATTCCATGTCGGTTTTCTGTGAATGGATCTTTTGAGTGTCCCATCTTGTTCGCGTCTTGCTAGTTGCACGTCCAGAAAAGATATTGTTGCGTTGGACTCCTTCTCTAGTGTGAACTGGATTGCTGGATGGCAACTGTTGAAGAAGTCCAATATGTTCTCCAAATTTTCCTCATTATTGGCGATAATAAAAGTATCGTCCACGTATCTCTTGTAGAATCCGAAGTTATCTATTATCTTCTTTAGGTGTGTATTTTCTAGTTTTGACATGAAAATATCTGCAAGCAGCGGGCCGAGTGGTGAGCCCATAGCTATACCATCTTTTTGTCTATATATTTCATTATTGAAAGTGAATTGGACGTTTAGAGTACATCTTAATAGGAGTTCCTTCAAATAGTCAGTGGGGATACCAATGTTCATCTCCTTTGAATCAATATATTCACATATATAGCATATTGTTTCGGTTAGTGGGACGTTTGTAAACAGTGATACCACATCTAGTGAGAACATGGTTTGATTGGAAACGCTGACGTTTTCAATGGAATTGACAAAATCGAAGGAGTCTCGAAGTGAGTGGCGGGAGATTTGCTTTCTGACTGGTTCTAGTATGTTTACTAGCCATTGTGCGGTACTGTGATAAGGTGAATTAGTCATATCGAGAATGGGTCGAAGAGGTACGTTTTTCTTGTGCACTTTTGGTAGTCCATATAGCCGGGGTATATTTGAGCCCGACGGTTTCAACGATTCGAAGGTTTCGAGATCGATGAATGATTCAGTCTTTAGTTTTCGGAGAAGGTTCGTTAGTTTTTGTTCAGTTTGTTCCGTCATATTCTTTTCCTTTGCTGGTTTTATGAATTTAGATTCGTCGGATAGGATGGTCAGCATTTTACTTACGTAGTCTTCACGATTCATGACTACGATTCCCCCACCTTTATCCGGGCGTAACAGAATAATCTCTTTGTTGTTTATTAATTCCTTGAGCTCTTTATAGTGTTTTTTGGTCAGTATTGACTTTCCATTTGGTTTGGTATTCATAAATTTATGGCAACTGTCGAGTACTACCGACCTGAACTGTTGCAGGTTTTCTTCGGAAGTTGGTGATAGATCATGTGTTTGGTTTATCAGGTTTTCGAACTGGACTTGGGATTGAAGTTTTTGGATTTTTGATGGTTTTGTGCAGAACTTTGGACCGAGGGACAGTGCTTCTAGTTGAAGTTCTGACAGCTCAATGTTTGACAGGTTAAATACGTATTTTTCTGGATTGCTTGGGAATGGACGTTCAGGGTCACTCGTCGGCTTCAGGCTTTTAATAAGGTTTGACTTGGCATTCTCACATTGTTTCTGTGCAACTTCTTCGACATATTCTTCGAACGATTGGCGTAGTTCTTGGTCTAAATCGTGAACTGCGTGAGCTCGTAAGTCAACATTTCGTTCTAGTTCAGGGATACGTGATTGGATGGAGTCAATGTTGTTTAGTGTGTGTCGCCTGAGCGTTCTGGTATTCGGATGGATGTGGTTTCGTCTGAGGGACTTCCAGTACATCTTTGGATATTCGTGCCGATCTAAACATTCTCTCAAGAACTGAATCTCTGCCTTCGCTACTGCAAGCTTGACGGAGTAACGCAGGAAACGGTCCAGCTCCTTCACCGTCACTGGGTCCTTGCAACGTTTCAGTAGCTTGAAAATTCCCATTCAGTCATAGAAAAGAAAAAGTGTTCAGCAAAGAGTTACTCTTTTCGGCGATATCATTCTCAAGCTGTACAAATCGCAAATTTATAGTAATTTGTCTTGGCAACAAAAGGAATATTTCCAAAGATGTGTTAATGCAATTGTTAGTTTTTGACAAACAGATTACGTAATTTTGAAGGCGTTAATCGGTTAGAAACTAAAATAAAGTTACAAAAGTAGGTTGGGTGACGTAATCTAATTGGTAGGGTTCAATGAAAAAATGAATGAGAGTCAAGTTAATAATCTGAGTAGAATTCACTTGAAAATGAATGAGAGTTAAGTTAATAAGCTGAGTAGAATTCACTTAAAAATAAACGAAAATCGAGTTAGCAACAGTCGTCATGAGCGTAGAGATTTAATAGAGGGTGGGGGTAGAAAATAATGCAATTAAGAAATAGACAAACAAAGAAGAAAGAGGTAAGACAAAATTACGTATTTGGTGTTAAGATAGATCAGGACCATTGTAGATTTAGTGACTGAACAAACTTCTTTTGTATGCAGAGTTCAGGATTCAATATGTGAATTGCCATTGCTTCTGCAGTTTGAAGAAGTTTAATTCGTACTCTTTTGGCAAGATTTCCACGTATTGTGTAGATAACTGAGAAGTTGTTTTGTGGGTTTGCTTGGTGTCCGGATTCGATCAAGTGTTCTAGGATAGAGCTGTGGCGGGGGGATCTTCTTTCTCCTTTATAAAACCATGAAGGTAAGTGTTCGCTGATTCGTTTGGATAGCAAACGCTGGGTACGGCCGACATACCTAGCTCCACATGAGCAGGTGAATTGGTAGATGCACATTGATGAGGCCCCCAGTGGAAGCTTATCCTTCACGTTCGTGCGAATCATTGGTTTCGTAGAGAAAGTTAGTCTGAGTTCCGCTGCGAAGAAGGTTTTCTTCAGTGAACGGCACAGGCGGTTTCTAAGTATTTCTGCTGAAGAATCTCCGTTGAATTGTAGATTCAAATAGAGAAGTTTCTTGGGAGCAGTAAGCATGGATGGTTTTTGTGTTTTCGGCTTCATAGCTTTTGTGATTTGTCTATGTTTGAGCGATGTGTGTTTTTTAGGGTCTAATTGTGTAAATTCGGTTGAACCAGACTATGTATTTTTTGAAATACAAATTTTGGTGAGAAAAAGAGGTGAACAGACTTTTAGGAAGCAGTATAGTTACAGAAACTTAGCGATCGAAGATAACTTTAACCAACATGAAATGTAGTTATATACCTAAGAGATTCTCTGGACTATTTAAACTGTAGCTAAACTATTGTTTTTATCATCTTGCGAAATAATCTGTCCTTTCAAACTGACATCTGTGCAATCGATCAGTGAAACGCTTTAGTTTTTTACTTTTCATTGATCCAGAAAGCTTTCAGGTTTGCCTAACTGTATGCATTTTAGAAGTTGATACTAACACTAGGGAGTACTGGACTTATCACCTTACTATGCATCGAATCCAAGACTTTCAAGTTAGAAGGCACGCCCATAGACTATTCAGGCACTGTGACAGGTCTATGAATTTTAACTTCCACTAATTCACGACATTCAGCCCCCCCCCACTAGCCAGTGTCACCGCTAGTACTTGTCTGCATACCCAACCTAGTGGAACTCACTAATCACGAATTTTCATGAGAACTCTAAACAACTTCGTCCTGCAGTTAGTTACATTTGTCTAATACTCCCTGGTTTTCAATGATTTCCTCACTAATATCGATCTGTGATCCAACTTGATACTTGTTTTGATCCTCTTTCTCCCTAGAAGGCGTATCAAATACTAGATTTATAACATTAATACTCTTATAAATGCACGAAAAAGTATCACTGCTAAATGGTTTTATCTTTTTGAACAAATATCACCAACTATATATTAATAATCAAATAAATAGAGTCCCATATTTGAATGGAGTAACTGTCTAACATTTATTAATTTCGC